GGGAACAAAAAAATGCTTGTAAGGACTGAGTAAATATGGGAACAAAAAAATGCTTGTAAGGACTGAGTAAATATGGGAACAAAAAAAATGCTTGTAAGGACTGAGTAAATATGGGAACCAAAAAAATGCTTGTAAGGACTGAGTAAATATGGGAACAAAAAAATGCTTGTAAAGACTGAGTAAATATGGGAACAAAAAAATGCTTGTAAGGACTGAGTAAATATGGGAACAAAAAAAATGCTTTGAGGGCAAAGTTATAGTTTTGTTGGGTTATTGTCCTCTCCAACTCTTCTGTTTCTTACTTCGTTATTTATGGGCTCTTTCACCAAAAAGGCCGTGCTCCCCTAGCCACCAGTACACCCCCCTCCCAGAGGAAGTGTTCCACAGTTTGGGAAACACTGACTTAATGTTAAAAGACTTTTCTGTTTAACTCGGTATGTTAGATGTTAGAATAAGAAACTTTAAAACACATTCTTTGGTATGTTTATCTCCACTTTTCCTGGAACCTATCTTAAAACAATGCTGGTTACCATGACTGCTTGGTCATCCATCACTGCTCACCTGTACACAAATCATCATTTTCTTCTAATACTATTACAAAATGGGCCAGCTAGATGTTGTAAATATACATTACCTTTGTTGATGTGAATAAATGCAATTATAATACACTTTGAAAGGAAGGGGAATGACTAAGAACTTAATATTTGTTGTACAGGTAAAAGATAAGTTTCCTGCTAATATTTCCGTTTTCGTTACATTTTCTACAGCTGGAAACATTGTTAGTTCATTGAATGTTTATGTAAGCATTGACTAAACAAGAGAATCTCAAGTTATGATTAAAGATTGAAGCCATTAAGATAAAATCCAAAACAACAGTGGGCCTCTGAAGGACTGTTTTATAGAGTATTACTACAGACGATAAGACACAATTAAAAACAACTATATACGCATGTATTGTTACATTTATTTCTGTTTCGCTGACAGTTGTGTCAATCACAGCTTGTGGGCTGTATCATATTTACCATTGATTAATCCACTACAGATTGGCAATGGACCACCTGGCCGTTTTTTGTTTTCATGGATTTGCGGTTGCCAAAAAAAGCAGCGGGTGTAAAGATTTCCATTTTTTATCTAATGTTAAACGTTTGTCTGGCCAGCTACAAGTAATTCCTGTATTGTTGTCCCAGTTTAACAGCAGTTATTGTTTGTCTGCCCACCGCGTGTGAAATGGGAAAGGGTTTGTGAGAGTCACGCGAGTGAAATACGTGACTATAATGTGAATCAAGAATGTGTGGGTGTGATAGTAACAGATGCCAGAATAGTAACAAACTAAAGAAGGGAAGATCGGGCAATCCTTCTACATCCCTGCATCAGAAACTGACTAGATGAAACAGACTACCGGTAAAATGTGCTGATAAACACGTTGTATAGTTTGTTATTGTGTATTTTTGGTTAAACGTAATGAAATTGATGCTTTTCAACTGGAAGAAAGAAACAGTTTAGAGTTCAGTGTGTGTTTTTTTTTCTCCAAAGACTTTGATCCTAAATCGACTGTTATTAAATTAAAGAGTATGACAGTTTAATAATGTTTATTTTAAACGACGACATGATATGAAATTGCATTTTTTATTTATGGCATGAAAATTACGCATGACTCTTAAGGTCCGTATTACAGCTTACCAAAGATGTCCTACAAAATACAGTATTGCAGGGTAACGGTCAGTCTGTTGCTCTCAACTTCAACACAACCAACAATATCGATTAAATAAGTAGCGTTGAGTGAACTGCAGCCTATATAAGTATTAGTTATCGTAGGCCTAATTTCCACTTCAGTAAACACACGTTACCTTTTGGATTCATTCAAAAATACAATAATAACAAATAATTACAACGTTTCGACTTATGATGATGATGACCCCGAACCTTTGCGTCGAAACGTCGGATACACGTTATGTGTGTGACTGGAAGAACAGTTATAAATGTAAAAGTAAACTAAAGTTTATGAAGTTGGCTAGAGAAGTGTGTGTGTGTGTGTGTGTTGATCGAGTCTACAAATGTCACTGGTATTTGCTTATCCGGAGCGGTTGTTAATATACCAAAATTTTGTAGTTAAATAACGTTTGAACGTAGTTAAATGTAACAGGAAACTTAACTACACTTACAAAATCTCCAAGTTTACAGTTAAAGATTTATAAAACTAGCTTCATCACTTCTAGTCAGAGTGGATTGAAATATTCCAAAGGTTCATGTTTAGTGAGTAACCCCCCACTGAACCTAACAATTAATACAATAATAACAATAACTTTTACAGTAGGAAAGTTCTGATTTTAGTAATTAATAATTTTGTATGTGTGAATGATAACGTTTGTTTTGGTTGTTGTTTTATAATACAGATTGTAATAAGATATAATGTTTATTATAGCACAACGTTGACATTGGAATAAACTCCATTGCTGTTTTTATAAGTTACAGCTTTTACAGTAACCTTTGAGGAAAATTTTGTAATTTAAATAAGAATGACGTATGGATCGCTGGTGAGATGACACTCGAGTATACAGGATGTAACATTGTACTTGTGTATATATAAATTCCTCCTCAAAACCTACAGTAAAAGCTGTAACTTATAAAAACATTTATCGCCAGTAAACTTAAACACAACTATTCATTCTAGTGTCATATATATATAAAACAAGCTTCTATATTTAGCCACGGATGAGCGGGTTATGAAATGGCTTTTTTTTTCTGAAGTACAAACTTTTAGCTGCGTCATCTCTTGACCGATTTGAGATCTAATAACAATTTTCGACTCAGGAGCTCAAACCCTTTCGATTGACGTATTTGACCATGCCCAAGGTCTCGCAGATTAATTTACTCTAATCCTGCCTAAAAGAATTTCAAGTGCCG